TCAGCCTCCTGCGGCGTTCTTCCAGGATGTGTAGTACCTAACCTTGCGTTTATTCCCTGGTTCAGTCGCGTCTTACTTCAGGTGCACCGTTGTGATATTCAACAATGAGATTTCTCGATGCGAGGTTCTTGTTGGTTTGCTCGCTGCATTGTAATTGAGCGGCCCCATGTTGTGGGCGGGTATTGTTGTTTTCGGGAACGAACGTGTAGTGAGGTTGTACAGGAAGGCGTCCAACGCAACTCTATCTAGTTTGCGTGGAGATTCCACGACAAGCCGCTGTCAGTCTGTCTGCATGTTTTGTGCTTCATTTTTTGCGATCACTTTTCGCTCGGCGTTGTTAAAGGCATTCGTCGCGAGTGACTTGAGTGTGTTTTGCAGTGTGATGCGTGGTGTGATGTTTTCCCATTGAAACAGATGTTGCGTATCAAGGTGATCACGGTAGGTGGTATTGCGCTATAGCGGCAAGTGCACGCCTTGAGTCTCAGGGAGAATGCGGGTCCGCCGCCAACTTGGCGTCTCGAGGAGCGAGGAGCGTGTGTATTGATGGTGGGGTTACTTTCGAGAGAGAGTGAGTCTATCTGCCATGGCCATGTTGCAAGCAAGGGTCGAGAGCCTTGCAAGAAATTGTGTGGATTTGTGTAGTGTTCCTTGATCTGGAGACTCGTCTTGTTGTTTGCACTCCCATTTAGCTGTGCTTTTATCGGGATACGTGCCTGCTGTCTGGTTTGTTCGTATGTATGTGTGGTGCTAACCCAGTAGTAGCATCGGTGTGCGAGGACGCACGCATGCATGCACAACGGACTGCTTGCCGCCAGTATTGGCCAACCATTCTTTGGATCTTTCGTGATCGTCAAGTTCACTTCGGTGAAGACAACTGATGAAAGGCTGGCGAAATGTGCGATCTAGGACTACCCACAACCTGGTGTCCCGGTGTTGCTGCTACGTTCAGTTTTTTTTTGTGTTGTTCATGTGTTGATTTTTCAGTAAGCATGACAGAACAATAGCTGAACGTGACTGACGGCAGGGGAAAACGACGCGGGTCGTACTCCAGCTTTTCAGCTTTTCAGTCTCCTGAGAAAGAGGTACACACGCTCAGAAAACGCGATAGACTGGGAGGGAATACGTTGGGTTGACATTCCGCGGGCTTGCACCAAACGAAGTGCGTTCGAGTTGGAAATTCTGTGACTTAGGCGTCTTTGGCTTTTGCTGCTGCCGCTGCTGCAGGCCGTGAATGCTACTGTGCCCACGAGGTTGCTTTCGAGCTTTGTCGAACGACGTGTGAAACGTTTGTCATGCTTGTAAGGAGGGTTCAGTTTTTTCACGACTAGGCAAATTTGGGAGCCACCTTGAAATTCGGCCTTTTCGGTATCTTTTGCTTGCAGTGTCCCTACTGAGTATATGTACAACGAAAAAGCCTTGGTGCAACGAGTGGCTGCTTTTTTTCGTTCGTATATAGCCGAAAGACGTGGAGAACCCATTTTTGTATGAAGCAGGTAAGGTTGGACTCTTGGTTTTTTTCAAATCATTTGTTCTGGTGTTTTGCCGTAATGGCGTTTATTTTTCGACATGTTGTGGGTTCAAGTAGAACAGCGCAGGGTGGGGGTTACCGTCAAGCAAGCCCGACCGATGCTAGCCCCGCTACTTCTACGTCTGGTGCGATACATGCGCAACACCGCGAGTCACTTGCATACTGTGGGCGCGCGGGTAGCCCGTAGCCGAGACATTGCGCTGTTTGTCACCGCCTTCCACACGATGCAACGAGGGATTCGATCTGGCGTGCGCGTTGGCGGCACAAGTCTTGCACCTTCCTGACGGAACGGGGATGATTTTCAATTTTCATTTCGGCAAGACCCTCCGAAGCTCGTCGCACGCGGTAGTAGTTCGACGAGATCGTCAATGTACCGAGCTATGCCCGTTGCGGGCGATACAAGGGTTTGGCATAGCAGCCAAGTCAGCAGGATGGAACATGCGGGAGGGGTACCTATTTCCCGAGGTCAACGCCGACGGTTCGCGGTGGTCGTCACAGTGGTCGGCGGCGCGTATGACCGCCTCTTTACAAGCCCATATTCGGAACGGTCGCCTGGGCGATGCAGGCGGTCAGTTTACCATGCACTCGTTCCGGGTAGGAGGAGCGGTAAGCCAAACGCTAGCGGGGACGGCGGTAGAAGTCCTCATGGA